ATGCCATCTGGAACTTTCTTAGTTACAGAAGAGAAGTCAAGGCCTGGCTTCAGATCTTCAAAGGACAGGCTGACTCTTTTGTTAGGGGTTAATGCAGCTGGTGACTTTAAATTGAAGCCAATGTTCATTTACCATTACAAAAATCCCAAGGCCCTTAAGAATTATGCTAAGTCTACTCTGCCTGTGCTCTAGAAATGGAACAGCAAAGCCTGGATGGCAGCACATCTGTTTACAGCATGGATTAATGAATAGTTTATGCCCACTGTTGAGACTTACAGCTCAGAAAAAAAAAGATTCCTTGCAAAACATGACTGCTCATTGATGATGCACCTGGTCACCCAAAAGCTCTGATGGAGATGTATGAGGAGATTAATGTTATTTTCCTGCCTACTCACACAACATCTCTTCTGCAGCCTATGGATCGAGGAGTAATTCTGACTTTCAAGTCTAATTATATAAGAAATACATTTCATATGAGTATAGCTGTCATAGATAGTGATTCCTTTGATGGATTTGGGCAAAGTAAATTGAAAATCTTCTAGGAAGGATTCACCATTTTAGATGCGATTCATGGGAGGAAGCCAAAATATCAATATTAACAGGATTTTGGAAGAAGCTGATTTCAACCCTCATGGATGATTTTGAGGAGTTCAAGACTTCAGTGGAAGAAGTCACTGCAGATATGGTGGGAATAGCAAGAGAACTAGAATTATAAGTGGAACCTGAAGATGTGACTGGATTGCTGCAGTCTCACGACCAAATTTAAATGGATGAGGAGTTCCTTCTTATGGATGAGCAAACAAAGTGGTTTCTTGAGATGGAATCTACTCCTGGTGAACATGCTGTATCATTGTTGGAATTACACAAAAAATTTAGAATACTACATCAACTTAGTTGATAAAGCAGTGGCAGGGTGGGAGAGTATTGACTCCCAGTTTTGAAAGTTCTACTGTGAGTAAGTAAAATGCTATCAGACAGCATTGCATGCTACAGAGAAATATTTTGTAAAAGAGTTCATCACTAAGTCCATCATTGTCTTATTTTAAGAAATTGCCACAGTCACCTCAACTTTCAGTAACCACCACTCTGATCAGTCAACAGCCATCAAAAGTGACGCAAGACCTTCTACCAGCAAAATGATTAAGACTTGCTGAGGGCTCAGATTGTACTTAACATTTTTTTTTTTTTTTTTTTTTTACCAATGAAGTACTTTTAAACTGAAACATAGACGTAATGCCATTAATACAGCTACTTAAAAGACTACAGTATCGTGTAAACATAACTTTCATATGCACTGGGAAACCAAAAAATGCTGTGAGTTGCTTTGTTACATTATTTACTTTGTTGCGGTGATCCGGAATCAAACCTGCAATGTCTCTGAGGTATGCCTGTACCTAATGTCATCCCTAACTGTGACAGCACTCTTAGGCAAGTTTATCTTTGAGAATTTTTTGGACCATGGAAGGTCACACAGAGTGAAGCGTTTAAAGGGTTCCCTGAGAAAAGAGAGCTGGAACTTAAGGCAAGGTGGCAGGAGGCAGAAGAGAGAATACAGCTAAAAATACTTAGTATGGTGTCCCTAACTAATTGGTGAAACTAGGCCAAATTTGGCAAAATTTCTGTAGGAGAGCCAAGTCTGAAGGATGGGTCAGTGGCTCCCTGGAGTACTGATCTGGAAGAATTTCTGCAGTCACAGACAGCCTCAGCAGTGATAACTATAATGATTGATTACTGATATCTGCCAAGGGCCCAGGAAGGAGTGTGTGTGGCATGTCTGTCAGCTGTGCTCTGGTAGACATGAGGCTACATTTTGAACTTTTTGGCCTTTTGCTGATCTCTCTTTTCAGAAACACACACCAGCATTTCCTTTCTCCTGATACATATTCACGGGTAAATACTTGCTACTCAAATAAGAGATTTATACTAGTTTAGGCAGAATCTCTCAGAGGTATCTGAGCTAATGGGCAGTAAACACCACTCAGCATATGTCTCCAGAAGCTGTGAGCAGGGAAGCCACTACAAGTTGGTCATCCCTGTGTAGTCACTTTTTCTCTTTGCAACTGATGTCCAATACACAGGTTCTCCCATGACTCGGAACCAATCATCACCCTCACATCCCCTGAGGGGATCGCAACTGTGGCAGGATCTGTGACATCCATTCTGGGCTTCACACAAAAAACATGGTAGAGTGATATGAACTGTGACTGTGTCATCACCAGCACTTTTAGCCATAACTGAGCTCTCTTGAAATATCTGTACCACTTGAGGGAGTTGGTGTCCCCAGCTGTGTCCTGCTGCATGACATGAAATGGTAGAGGCAGGCCACTTGCCTTCCTCCTTTATTGCAACACTGCCTGGCTCTTTGCTATTTTTATAAAAGTCAACTTTTCCTTAAATATCAAAGAATTTTGGCTGGGCATTGTGGCTCACGCCTATAATCGCAGCACTTTGGGAGTCAGAGGTGGGTAGATTACTTGAGTTCAGGTGTTCAAGATCAGCCTGGCCAACATGGTAAAGCCCCATCTCTACTAAAAATACACAAATTAGCCGAGTGTGGTGGCACATGCTGGTAATCCCAGCTACTTGAGAGGCTGAGGTGAGAGAATGAATTGAACATGGGAAGCAAAGGTTACAGTGAGCTGAGATTGTGCCACTGCACTCCAGCTAAGGTGACAGAGCAAGACTCCATTGCAAAAAAAAAAAAAAAAATTTATCTTCAGGGAGCCCCTCTATTTAGTCTGCTGTGCTGCTATACCAAAATACCATAGACTGGGTGGCTGAAACAACAGAAATTTATATCTCTATAGGTCTGGAGGCTGAGAAGTCTGAGATCAAGGTGCTGGCTGATTCAGTTCCTGGTGAGGGCCAACATCCCAGCCTCCAGACAGCTACCTCCTTGCTATGTCCTCACACAGTGGGGAGAGCAAGCTCCTGTCTCAAGGACAGTGATCCCATCATGGGGGCCTCACTCTCAAGACCCAAACTAAACCTGATGAACTCCCAGAGGCCCACTTCCCAATACCATCACATTGGGGGTGAGGGCTTTCCCCTAGAAATGTGAGGGGGACAAAAACACTCAGTCTGTAACACCCTCCTTCCTGGAAGGTGTATTTTCATTGGAAAACACCAATCCTTGACGATGCAACCAAACTTTTTAACGCTAAAGAGTTTGACCTGAATGTTTTGCGCTTTAGGTTTTAGTGGGGTTGGTGTGCTTGTGCTACTGGGTTGAGAGAAGAGAGAGCTTTAAATATTATTAACATTTAGCAAAATAATGATGTTTTTGGTTTTAAAAAGAGCAGTAAGTGACTCGATTGCTATTGCTAATTGTAGAAAATGTCCCGGTGGAACTGCGTGAGGAAATACAGAGGAAACAGCAGTGGGTTGGGGAGAGTCATTTTGAACTGTTTTTTGTTAAATGAACTGATAATTCTGCTTGTTGAGTTGTTAATACAATGTCGAAGTTCAGGTGCTGTATCTGATTTCAATTCCTGATTCCTCTACTTAGTAGCACTGTGATCATGGGCAAGCGACTGAATCTCTCTAAGTCTCAGCTTTATCATTTCTAAAATGAAAGTAATAATAGTTCCTACTCTATGGGACTCAATGAGGAGAAGAAGATTCAGTGAGGAGCTGGGAGTGGTGGCTCACACCTGTAATCCCAGCACTTTGGGAGGCTAAGGCAGGAGGATCACTGGAGCCCAGGAGTCGAGACCAGCCTAGGCAATAAAGTGAGACTGTTGATACCAAAACCAAAACAAACAGCCAGGTGTGGTAGTGTGTACCTGTGGTCCCAGCTACTCCGGAGGATGAGATGGGAGGATTGCTTGAGCCCAGGAGGTCGATGCTGCGATGTGCCGTGTTCACGTCACTGCACTCCAGCCTGGGTGATGGAGCCAGACCCTGGCTCAGAATAAAAAAAAAAAAGATTCAATGTGAATGTATGCAAAATAATTCAAGATTGTGTCTGGAACATGTAAGTGCTCATCAAATGTTAGCTATTACTATTCTTACTACTATTATTTATTAGCAGTTGGGGGGGAAAGACAGCGCTAGGAAGCCAGATCCCTTTCTTCAATTACTGATATACATTAACAATAACAACAACAATAGTAGTAACCCTTTTATGTACTAGGCTCTTAACATGAATTAATTTACAACTGCCCTATGAGGTACTATTACTATTATAATCACCCTTTACTTATAACTGAGGAAACCGAGTCACAGAAAGATTAAATAACTTGCCCAGAGTAACATGGATAATGACCAGCAAGGCCAGAGCTTGAATCTAGGCAGCCTGTTCCAGAGACGACATGTTGAACTATCGTGATATGTTGCTTTTTCTGGTCTATACAATTAGGGCCATGGCTGGAGGCAATGTATAGACCCAATAATCTGTTTGGCTCCCTCCACGTCTTGGATCCTTGGTAGTGTCCCTGAGTTTAGATCTATTGTTATGCTCTATATCAGACAATGAAAAACACAGTTCTAAGTCCTTAGCTTGGGAAACTCTCATAACATTTGGCTCAGTGAAATCAAATGGTATAAAAACAAAAGTAAAAGGCACATGGAATCAAAAGTCTTTTCTTACCTCATCATCCAGCCATCTAGTTCCCTTGCCCAGAGATAGTAATTGTTAGGTAATGGATCAATTTTGAGCAAACTGTTAACCTAAACCTTACCCCTTTATCATCCAAGACAAACACTGCTTCCATGCCCCACCTCCCCTCTCTTCTCTGACTTCCTGGCTGGAGACAGAATTCCCAGTGAGGGAGAGAAACAGAGCTAGTTTCTCTCCAGTGCTAGCCTCGCCTTCCCTTCCCCTCTCATGACCTCTCCCCTGCCCTACCACTACTGGGCCTTTCTTTACCAACTCATACTATCAGCACTTTACGCTACACTAACAGTATCCTCAGGAGAAGGCTGGGGACACCTGCTTTAATTTCAACAACTCCTTTGCTGCCATGACTATCCTTCTGAGTTTATCACAATTAGCATACCACTCACCCTGTGAAGTATAAGGACTGATGTGGCTGGACCACCAAAGAAGACTCATTCTCTGCAATATTCCTAAACACAAGAAAGAAAAAGAATAGCATTTTCTTTCTAAGTATTCTAGTACTAAACCTTGTAGCTACATATGTACAGGAACAGAGAGATGCAGGGCATGCTATTGATCTCATTTGCAAAACCTAAAAATAATAGCAACAACAAATTAAGCATATACACATTGACTAGCAGACTAAAGTGTTAATAGTGAATACGTTAACTACCAACCATCTTAACTTTTAATAAGAAGCATGAATTTCATTTACTTATATATGATTTTCAGATCTTTTCTCCCTTTTTATTGTGGTAAAATAACATACGCTTTACCATTTTAACTATTTTTATTTAGTTAGTTGTTTGTTTTTAATAGAGATGGGATCTCACTATGTTGTCCAGGCTGGTCTCAACCTCCTGAACCCAAGCAGTCCTCCCGCCTTGGCCTCCTAAACTGTTGAGATTACAACTGTGAGCCACTGCACCCATCCTCAACTATTTTTCAGTCTATAGTTCAGTGACATTAAGTATATTCACAATGTTGTGCAACAATCACTACTACCATTTCTAGAACTTTTCATCATCCCAGCTAGAAACTCTGTACCTATGAAATAAAAGCTCTCCACTCCTCCCTCCTCCAGTACCTTATAAACTTGATTCTACTTTCTGTCTCTATGGATTTGCCTATTCTGTAAGTAGCATCATGCATTATTTGCTCTTTGGTGTCTGGTTTATTTCACCAAGAATGATGTCTTCAGTGTTCACCAATGTTGTGATAAAATTTTCGTTCCTTTTAAAGGCTGAATGATATCCAATTTTATGTATATACTGCATTTTAAAAATCCATTCATTTGTTGATTGGGTTATTATCACCTTTTACCTGTAGAGAATAGAGCTGCTATGAAATTCGTGTAGAAATATCTGTTTGAATCCCTGCTTTCAATTCTTTTGGGCATACCCCTAGGACAGAAGTGCTAGTTTCTATGGTTTATCTATGTTTAACTTTTTGAGAAAACATCGTACTATTTTCCATAGCAGCTGTACCATTTTACATTCTCACAAGCAAAGGACCAGGGTCCTAATTTCTGCCCATCATCATCAATACTTTTTTGAAAAAATAGCTATCCTAATGGGTGTGAATCTCATTTTTTTATCCTTCAGCCCCCAACCTTTTTCCCCAAGTCCCCAACATCCATTGTATCATTCTTAAGCCTGTGCATCCTCACAGCTTAACTCCCACTTATGAGTGAGAACATGCAATGTTTGGTTTTCCATTCCTGAGTTACTTCACTTAGAATAATGGTCTCCAGTTCCATCCAGGTTGATGAAAATGCCATTATTTCATTCCTTTTTATGGCTGTGTCATATTCCATGGTATATACATATACCACATTTTCTTTGTTCACTTGTTGATTAATGGGCATTTGGGCTAGTTCCATATTTTTGCAATTTTGAATTGTGCTGCTATAAACATGTGTGTGAAGTATCTTTTTTTGTGTAATGACTTCTTTTCCTTGGGGTAGATACCCAGGAGTGGGATTGCTAGACCAAATTGTAGATCTACTTTTAGTTTTTAAAGGAAACGCCACACTGTTTTCCATAGTGGTTGTACTAGTTTACATCCACACCAATAGCGTAAAAGTGTTCCCTTCTTACCACATCCATGCCAACATCTATTATTTCTTGATTGTTTTTATTATGGCCATGTGAGTCTCATATTTTTTAAAAAGGTGTGATGGTTAATTATGTCACCTTGACTGAGCCATGGGTGGCTGTTTGGTCAAACACTATTGTGGGCATATGTGAAGGAACATCTGAGTCCTGGGCTTCCACAGAGACAGTTTCTGTTAATTGCTTTTTTCCTGTGTATTGGCCATACATTTTTGTTTTTTCAAATGTCTTATAATTTTTTGTTGAAAATTGCACATTTAAAATAATATAATGTGGGAACTGTGGAAATTAGATTCTCCCCCCTCCTCAGGGCTTGTCATTGTTACTGTTAGTTATTGTTTGTTTAGTGACTTTTCTAAAATAGTCTGTGAAGTCTGTATTCTTTGTCATGTTTGGGGGCTGACGTCTCTGCACAGTTAGCTTAGTGGTCAGGTAATGACTGGATAGAAATTTCCTTAAATACCAGGGACCAGTGAGTTTCCCAGTCTTTGCAAAGGGGCTCTTTGGGTAAACCGGGCATGCCTTCAAAGCCAGGGCCTTGACAATTCTGTTTGAGCCTTCACTGCCTGCCTGCACACAGCTTCATGGATACGTTGCACAGAGGTGAGGACTTAGGGCCTTCTCAGGTCTTTCCTAAGCATGCACACAGCACTGGGCTCATGCACAGCCCTCTGCAGGCATGTGGCCTTCTAGCTTCTCAGGAATATGTTGAGTTCCTACCAATATCTCATTCCCTGGCTTTTCCCTGAAAGCTTTCTGGTTAGCCTATTGTTTGCCAACTGGTATCCACGATTTCAAGCAGCCTTGAAATTAAACAGTTGCCTCCTAATGTTTTCAATAAATGTCCCTAGGGAAAAGGGTTTTTGCACCAGGTGAACTTCAGATCAAGTCAAAGAAAGACTGGTTTGCAATTAAAGTCTTCCAGGGAACTCCCAGAGTGGGTGAATCCTGACAGACGTCTGGGAATGAGGTTTTAAAGGAGCTCTAATGCTACTGTGCCTCCTCCAGTGGCTGCCAGGCTGTTGGCTTTCACTGTGATTGTGGGCTGTTGATTTTCAAGGCTACCACAGAGCTGGAGGAGGTGGGTGATCAGAGCAAGTTAAGCTTGCTGCTCTTACTGAGATTCAACCATTCTTCTGAAATTAACATTCCCTGGACTGCTAAAAGCCTTGGGTTAATTTACCGAGTTCTGAAAAAGTTGATTCTGACTATTTTTGCTGGTTTCCTCACTGCTTTCCTGGAGGAGAGAAGTTTTGGAGATATTTGCATTTTTGCCAGCAATACCCTAATGAAGTGTTAATGGGGAAAGAGAGTGCGTTGTGTGAAAAAAGAGTGCTGGAGTTACTGACTGTCAGAGGTGGAGTTGTTTCAAGTGATGACAGGGCCCAGGGAAAGGCCAGGGGAATGGACACCTGGACTGGAGTGCAAGCGAAGGTCATGGCTGTGGGAGGGGGCAGGCAACAGATGTTCAGGCCAGACTGATGGGAGGGTGCCCACATGGAGACTGAAATCCTCCAGCACCAGCATACTACTTGAGGAGAGAAGGAGACTGAACCAGGTGCCTAAGTCCTCCCTGACTGCAGGAGTGGCCGAGATGGATGGACGGTCACAGTGTCAATGCTGGGAAATGAAATTGTCACAAGCATAGCCAGTATGGAAAACAGTGACAGAGATATTCTAAAGAGGACCAAGAAATTTCAAAAGAGAATTATGATATGTAAATAGATATCTGATACCAAGAAGGGAGAATTGTTGTCAATTTAACTAGTTCGATCTATCAGTAGAAAAGCTTGTCAGTGTTAACAAACTATTTGCACTCCCTCTGTGCATCAGGAGGTGAAGGCAAGAGCTGTAGCCCTTGATAGATGCATCTTCTCATGGTTCACCGCCTGTCTTTGTTCTTGTTTGTTTGTTTTCTTTTCAGACAGGGTCTCATTCTGTTGCCCAGGCTGGAGTGCAGTGGCGTGATCTTGGCTCACTGCAGCCTTGACCTCCACAGCTCAAGTGATGCTCCCACCTCAGCCTCCTGAGTATCTGGGATTACAGGTGTGTAACACCACACCTGACTTTTTTTCTTTTTTTTTTTTT